ATGTTGATAATAAGGCACATCCAGATCTCAACATCCAATATAGTTCCTGTGTATTCTCCTAAGTGTGGTCCACATTGTATCAATCTCGACAATATCGTGCCATAGCGTTGATTGAACTACCACAATGCCATCTAAATGGGTGGCACTTAGTCCCTGTTCTGAAATTCTAATATACTTTGTGTACCTGGATCAATGTGGTTGGCAACAACCTTAACTAGAACCGCCAACGGGTCAATTTTACCCGCAGCTGTTTCTTGATTGTATGTAACTTTTTTTCAATAAAATATTCATGTCTCCCAGTCTGTGACTTTTCCTGAAAGTGTGTTATGTAGCACCCTCTGTTGTTAAAAATGGTCAATGGTCAGTTGGAGTGAAAAAAGTGGCCCAAAAAAATTGCCATTTATACCCTTCAGCGCCAGCGGGTAATATTTACCTTGTAGAAAATGCAGTGATTTTCGCGCTATTGATCTTGCTCATAAACATGACGTGTTGCTATAGCAACGCCTGTTGTTTACTGCGGTTCCTTATAGATATAGAGAGCTAGATAGATGGTTATAGATAGTTATAGACACTTTTAGCGATATTTTATACCTCATGCTATCTGCACAAACTCGTATAACTCAGATATCATATGAAAGCTGAGAGTCCACAGATTATATTGGTATAAGTTTCATCACTGTGCGATCAAAACTCACTGTTAACCCTGTGTTCTAGTATGATAAATAAAAGAACATTGTACCTTGAAAATCAATGCATTCTAATAGCGGGTACATTTTACCCGTTGGCAGTTTTAGGTATACAGCGACCCCTGGCGGTTCTAGTGTTAAATAAAGGTTAACTCTGAACTCTGGTTACCATTTTACTCAACTAGCAAAGGCTAATAAGTGCGTTGGTAAAAACACACATTCCAGTTTTAAACTCCAACAAGGGTTCTTATTAGTTCGTTGCTTGGCGACACTTAACAAATCTTGAAGAACATCACTTGATGAATATTGCCAAGATCTTGACATAAATAATAAAGTCAGAATGTGTTGGCCATGAGAGAAAACCCTGTCCAAAACACCTGAAATCAAGTCACTGTGTAGTCTGTAAAAACAACTTAATGCCTTTATAGACAGATATTGACAATAACTATTCTCAAAAAATGTCAATGTTTTTTCTTTTCAGCTACATCAACACATTATGGGGAAATATACTGCAACCTGGGCAGTTTAGGGTTTTAGTGCGAAAAGGATGGTAAAAAGTTAAAATCTCCATCTTCAAACTTCACAAGCTTCGAGCAAAGCGCAACCTTTCATGATTACACATTGATCTAAGTCTTTCAAAAACAAGTTCTATTTGGTCCTTAAGGTTTCATTATCAAAAGCGAAGAAGCTACAGATTGGTCTCTTTTTGGAAAGTTCCTTCTCACAGTCCAACACGTTTAAAGATGGTCAAACCTGTCAAAGAAAAACAATTTGTACACAACACCAACACACAGACATAACATCAAAAGATTTAAAAGGTATACCTGGGTCACTTCAATGAGCACTTGTACTATGTTGCAGGATGTTCAGATGCTTTTAAGAGCAGAACGTCTCTGTTCAACTAGCAAAGTCCTTTCTTAACTTCATGTTTCTTTACTTACTATGCTTGTGATACTTACTAATTGTCTTACCAACTCACTTGTGCACCGCCAACCCCCCCCCCAAAGTTTTTCCATTCAATGTGACAAATGGATTCCAGAGGTCAAGTTAACCCAGAAAATCTGGTTAAACATCTGTCCATTGAGTCACACACCGGACTGTATATTTACCAAAGACTACAAAACTGAATCCTTTGTTGCTGTGCTAAAGTTTCCAAATTAATGGACTTAGTTTGTAATTAATTCCCCAAAAAAATCTAAATGTAAGCTTGACAAATTATAATAAGAAATTAAATAAAAAAACAAGCAACTAAACATTTAATTTAGAATCCCCTTAAAAGCTTACAACAGTTTAATGTTGCATTTTTTATTAGTTTTAGACTGTAAACAAACAAAAAAGAGAAAACTCAGCATTAATCTTCAAAGACAATTGCTGTAAACTATATCCAGACTGAACTTTTTCTGGAATGGTTCTCTTCAGCTAATTTAACTTAACCAACACCAATCTGGGAAAACGTTAGAAGTATGTCTTCAAATATATGAGAAAATAAATACTTAATTACTGCCGTTTAAAAAATAAAAAAAACCCTCAAGTTGTAGACAGAATTACTGTTTTTACATCTTGACTGACATAAAAAAGAAAAAATCAATAATGTATTTCTAAAGTTGCAATTCTGTCATGGTTGTCATAAATTTAACGGTAGTTATGTCTACAAGTATCCATTGTTGTCAAAGGAATTGCCACAAAGCTAGATGAGCATCATCGCTCAAAGGCTAACATGTCAGCATCCTGATTTTCTTCCCTTTTACATTGTTCTATTGTGAGTCTTACTTAAGTACATTTGTACACGGGTCCAGTGTCACTTTTTTTTCCTAAAGCATTTTTGATTCCACGCTATACAGCCACAAACTCCTCCACAGTCCACAATCTTTAAAGCTGGTCAAACCTGTTAAAGAAAAATGTACATAACACAAACACACGTAACATTACAGATGAACAATCCTTGTTATCCAATTATTTTACCAAGTATCCGTAGTCCGGTGTGTTTTTCAGGTTTCTCAGATGCCACTCGAAGGGAAAGGATTAACTAGGGATTCTTGCAGGGCAAACATGTGAAGGACATGATGGGTATCCAAATATTATAGGTTTTTTTCTGTTGTGGGAATAAAGCTCTGAAAAGTGTGTGGGAAGGGGATTAAGACATGTCACCACTTACAAATGATAAGGCTCAGTTAAGTGGCCATTTTAAAACAATGTCAAAGTGTTTAACAATAAAAGGTTCAGTTTAAAATCTTTAATTTTTACTATTGGACCAAGAGAGGGTTACTCAGACCTGGCAAAAATGGTTATTCGTATTGCTGGAAATGTCGGAGGGTTAAGGGATATGCCAGAATGTCTAGATTAAGAATGACAGCAGCATTGGCAAATCCAAATAACTGGTTGGATACAACATTTGCTTTTGGAAAAGCATTTGCAGAGGTCTGAGCATTTACTAACAACTAAATTATTTGTTGTTGACAAGGAAAGCCTTGGGGAAGGATAAATCATGCACTTGCCCCGAAATTGTTCTGCATAATCAAAAAGTAAAACTAATTCGATAAAAAAAAAGGGTGTGAAATGCACAAAGCCCTTATAGTGCTGGTTATTGTGCAGAGTAAATTGACACTGCATGAGGACCTTCAACTTTCCTTGCGTCTCAAATACTTCAATGTTTTTGCAGCTATAAAAAAGGCAAATGAAAAGAACTACCACTGAATTGTGGTCCTCCAATTATAAGTCCAAATGTTGTCTTAAGTCAGCCAGTGGATGTTTACGGTTTAAAAAGAGCACAGTACCAAAGACTGTTGATCAAGACACTGCCAAAAAAAAAAAGTGCTTAATTTCTGAGCTCAATTTCCATCAGAAAAACACAGTACGATGAAACAAGTATACTTAGCAGTTAAATCCTAAAAGAAGTAGTTAATACAAAAATACTTACACTCACTTTTAAAGCCCATCTCCTTCTATCACACAACTCTGAGAAATGTTTGCAAAGGCAAGCCAGTGTCCATTTGATGCCAGCGTGATGTCAATGTACTTCAGAGCAGGTACTGACATGGTTCATGGGGAGGGTCCAGATTGGGCATTACAGTTATAATTTGAATATCAGTTGCAGGAAGACTATAGCAATGATGATAGAAAATGTTAATGTTAATAATTTGATGTTTAATTTTAAAAGCAGGCTCTTTTTAAAATGTTATAGACCTCATTGTTACTGTCGCCAAGGATTCGGTCTGGTCTCTTTGTAGGATTATGGAAAAAACTACTGGCCAAATTTTCATTACATTTGGTGGAAGGGTGTTGCATGGGCCAATGAAGAAACCATTACATTTTGAAGCGGCTGAGCCTTGGCGGAGGTCCGTGCTCTAGAAGGGCCCTCTAGTTCAAATAGGTTCCTCATACTGGGCACAAGGCAGCTATAAGGCAGTATAAATAAGATTGTATTTTATTTTTTTTAAACATCCTGCATCCTACAATATTGAAACAGATGACATTGATGCAACTACAGCCTAACACGCGTTGTCTCCTTTAATGCAAAACGGTGCTGTAAATGGGCTCCTGATAATGTCACCCAATTAATGATATGAAGCAGTAGGAATAAACACATTGAATAGAATTGAGGAAATAAAAAAAATGAAAGAATTGTGACCTTTTGCGAAGTGACAAGATGTAAAAAGGGAATTCCCAAATTGGAGAATGTGAAATATCACCATCTCTTGTTAGAAACCTAAAGTAGAAGATGAAGCCAACATTGGCCCGGTATTCAACTGCAGTTCAAACCACATCAATGCAGTCGACCTTGCTTAGGGAAAACATTCTCGTCTTCTTACAGGACAATACATGCTTTGCAACCTTCTACTTTTGCACAAGTTTCAACAAGTGCAAGATTTTACAACACGGGCTGTCTTGCTGACTCGTGTTATACTAATTTCATGTAACTATTCAAATCAAAAATATTTGAATCATATTGGAAATATATTTAAAAGCAAGCATTTAAAAGAGTCAGTCACATTGTTTTATGTTAATTAGGGGGAAGCCTTTTTTTACTTTTATATTGTCTTACTAATTACTGAGCTCTTTCAGACTGATAACATGTACTTATGTCAACAAATATTGTATCTATGGTATCAACATACAAATTAGTTCAACTTTCTTAAACATAGAAGATGTTGATAACTGTACCCAAAAATAATTATTTGACTGAACTGGTTAGGACTACGTTTAGATGCAGGTATGTTATATTGTGGGCGGTCATTCTCTGTGATCTTGGTCGAGTCAATACAAATAAAATAGGGGTCGCTATTGACAGTAGCTTGGCTTTTTTTTCTTTTTTTCTCATTGGTCTGCAGCGTTTGAGCTCCCATATTAATTTGCAAGTTTAGCTTGCTTGAAATCTCACCTGAAGAGTACCAACAAATTATGCAAGTTTTTCTAATGGAAACCAAAGATTGTTGAGCTGTACAATGCAGTAGTAGAAGTGCATCATTATATTGGTCTCACCGCTGACTAAGAAAATTACCAACACAGACTGGGGGTATTTAAAAGCATAATGCACAACTTGGTGGATTGTTTTGTTCAATTGTAATGAGCTCTCAAAAACAACCCATTTACTACCAAGAAGAGGCCAACAGTCACTTTGATCAAATGTTTGCAACTAAAGAGGAGAGCATGGTGATCCTTACATTTTTAAATATTGTATTCGACTGCATGTAAACGTAGTCAATAGCTTAAAAAAATTGCACCAAAGATGCACTAACGTTTCCTGTAAGTCACTCAGTATCTGATATAAGCATTTGTATTTATAAGAAGACGAGTGTCCACTTGGCTACCCACAACCACCAAACAAGTCTTTCTTAAAGGATCTATGTGTAGTATTTCTGCTTTCCGAAAACATGACTTTAAAAGAAGAGTTACTGAATAACAGTGAATGGAACATGCTAAACAGAGAGCGGAGACCTCCATTGCCACTAAGCAGTGTATATGGAGAAACAATTAAAAGAGGTATATTTAAATGGATTCATAATATTGTGTCTCCTATACAGTTCGAAGACATTGATGCAGTCTAGACTTGCAGATGCCAAATGTCCAAGCCCTTTACCAATAAGACATGTCACTGCTAGATTAGTATAATTATTTGATAAAAGTCTAATAAACACTCATATCAGGAATGCAAATTGTAAGTGTCAGCTAGTTCTTTGAGTTTAATGGGAATAAAAAAACAAGCAAAAGACTGCAGGGAAATTTGCAGCATATGCATCAGGAGGAGCCACGCGTCGCTGAGCGATTGAGGTTCAGGACTTCGGCAGAGATAACACATAGACCCTTTAAGACCTATCGTGGCAGAAATAGCCACGTCAATTACAAACAACTATTTGTTAGTAAATTGTTGCTTTTGAACATATAAGTTTATAGTTTCAACTTTTAGGAATAAATGTTAACGTTTTGCCGGACAGAACCAATGTCTCTTTATTATAATACATGCTTTGACTCCAAATGTATGGCACAAAACACAGCCATAGAAGGTAGAGAAAAGTGTTACAGTTATCACTTCACGGCGACTCACAGAGCATAATACATCTAGAAAAGAAAAGTATACATGTGTCAGAAAGAGCTAATGATCACACGAGGGTGTTCCATCTTTCCATACTACTGACAATACAAAATAAAAAAAGGAAAATATTGACTTTGTCATAAAATGAGTAAATTGTCAGGCTAAAATGTAGCAACAATTTAAACTTAAATACAAGAAATGCGACTCAACAAGTTTGTGGTGGAGAATCTATACAAATGTTGCTGCTGGAAGCTTCAAATAGCAGCATTTAAAAACGGGGTTTCTTAGCAGGACCATCAAACTCCTCACGGACCCTGCCGAACCCGGGGGTACCAGGACCCATTCCCCTAGGACCGCCCTGGGCAAAGCGCTCGTTGCGCTGTTGGGTTTAATTTGCCAGGTGGGCAGATTGGAGAGAGGGTGTTAAGTAATTGTTTAGTGCGCAGGCACAAAGTTCATGTCCATATGGAAGTGTATAAATGGTACGGTAGTAAAGGTGATTTGTTTTATATTGTGAGATTTACAACACAACCAGCAGGAGACACATCCGAAGAAACGGTTCGTTCCAATATGAAGGTCCACAGGTGCCACAGGTTACATACAGAAAAGGAAGAGAGGGTAATGCTTTCGTTAGTCAGTGCCTACCTAGTACGGTCTCTCCAGTGCATGCCAAGACCAGCCTTAAGCATAGTCTTACTACTCCGTAGGTCTAGCATTTTGTGAATGCTGCCCACAATTGGCTTTTAAGGTAACTTAATGTAGCAACAGAAAACGCCTTGGAGGCCTTTCAATAAAATAAATGTTATAGTTTGTTTTTTGTTGCGGGCGTAAGTCGTTTTCTTAAATTATATGTGGTTTGATGAGCAGAAATTACATATGTCCTGCTATTACAGCACCTCTTATGGCACTGCAATTTAAAAAAAAAATCATTAATGACTTATGGTCCCAGACGAGACCAGACTGTGAAGTACAAGGACTACATCAGGAATGCATGTGTAGAATATTGCCACTGTAAAATGAAACATTGCACAAGACATTTCTCCAACAGGAAAACAATATGCACATGATATGCCAATGCTGGCATACTCTGTGAAACCTTAATAGTGTGAAAAGACTAAAAGTCTCAAAAGCTAAAAACTCCAACACAGGGGGCTATTTTTTCAACACAAGGCTACATTGGAATGTGGTAAAAACAGAACATACACAACGATGTAGTAATAAAGTGGATTACGAGTATGTACTCTAGTGGAAATAACACTGATCAGACGTCATGTTATACGGAGCTTTACATTAAGACATAATTATTAAATAGTGTCATAGTGAACATTTCATGGATTGTGAGAATGGTGCATTTCCAAACTTCAACAACATTTTCAATTCATAAGAAACCTTTTCTAAAACCACCAAGGAAAATCATGCTTTAAAGGTAAAGCAAGAATTGATAACTATCGGATGCTCTTATTAGCATGAGAACACAACATTTGATTTATCAAAATGGGAAAAACTATTTTCAAATAATGTTTGTTGAACAGAAAATGGTTGTATACAAGTCAATTGTAATTCGGGATGGGCAGCGAAAACTGTTATTAAATGCTCCACAAGGCAAGTAGTAGTATCAATAAACTCTAACTTAAGCAGTTATTTTATTGGCATTTTAAAACGTTCTGGTGTAATCTATCACATCATCATTTTCTCTCTTTGTTGTGTAATGCCTGAGTTTGTCTCACTAAGTCCTATTTGAGAGTACAAAGCCAAAAGTTAAGCAATACACACTTTCAATCATCATAGATGTAAAAAAAATATAGATATAGATCTGCTCTGACTACAGTCTTTAAGCCCCTGCGCTTTACATAAACACAACGTGCTAGATTTGCTAATGGAAAATTGTTACAAACAAGCTATTTGTGTGATGTCTGTTAGCTTGAGTCACAAATCGAAAGAATTTGTAAATGTATCCGCAGTTCTCCTCCCTGTAGGCCGTCTCGTTTATGTTTTTTTAATTTGTTTCCAGAGTTTGCGGTACAAAAACATTTAAATTTGATCCATAGCTATATAGATATTAAAATATGGATTAAATCTAATCCTCTTCTCAATGATTTAGTTTATGAAAAAAAGGTATAATTTAGTAATGAAAAGAACCAGTAAGAGTATTGATTAAGAAACTAACTGAAAAAAGTATCGTTAACAGAATCCGCTGTGATATAATCCAAACAATATCCATACCTAGGTGTTATCCAGAAACCAACCTAACATTAGGCGCGTTCACACCGCAGTACTTTTCCCACTTTAGTTCCGAAATGTTGCAAGAACTAAAATGTCCATCCCTGCTAGAGAGAGCAGGGACTTTCGTGGGAGAAAAAGGTTCCTATTTCTGATTGGCTGGACGGATTGCAAACCACGCCCCGTAAAACTCCAAAAAGGTTTTGTGAAGCCGCAATTTTATTATCCTCGCATTAGCATTAGCCCAGTGCACAAACGCAGAGAGACTAACGTATGGCAACACAAAAAAAGACATGGGAGCGGTGGAGATGAGGAGGTGTCGGCGTTCTGGCGATTTACTCTGAAGGCTTCAGTAGAAGCTGCTGGGAGTCCCAGCAGCTTCTACTGAAGCCAGTCCCCAACTCCGGGGACTTCCGGCCGGGGACTCCGGGTGGCAGTATACGCCGTGAAGTTGTTTGCGGCCTGCCAGTAAACCCAAAGCAGAAGAAGACTAAGTGACGTCAGCGGCTTCATTTGCCTAATCCTCCCCCAGGGACTTACTCCGGTGTGAACGCGATCTATACTTAGTTAGTTCTCATGAACTAAGTTCTGATGAACCTTTGTGGGAAAAGTACTGCGGTGTGAAAGCGCCTATTGGTACTACAATTCTGCCAGAAACATAGATCAAGATCTTTGTCAGTATTCAAAAATACCCCTTCTCAACACAAATGTTCACAAGGTCTTGCCTGCCCCCATCAATTAATCCTGCTGTAAATCCATTTACAATACTGTGTTCCGGGTTCAATACCTTATACCGTCAGCCTGCACTAAAAGCATTTGAAATGCTCAATCACTTAAAATGTTTATGAGAAAAGTAAAGGTTGCTTGTCGAGAAGATGAACAACACCCCAACCCTAGTTCAAATACATGTAGCCTGTTGATATACAACATAACTTCCTCTTATTACAGACAATGCATGAAAGGATAGCTCGGTATGAAAAAAGTTTTTTTTTCTTCACATAATCGGCCTATTGGCAAAGGTTAAGGGAAAAAATCTCAGTTAGACGACATACTGCCTCTGGTGAAAAGGTGCCTGTCCAGCTCACATGAGACAGGGCTTGCAAAAGCAGTCCACTACACAAATGTTGTGATAAGAGAGAGCAGTTCCATTGAGTTCTGCTTTTCGCTGTCAAACAGCACATCATAATGCAATTTCTTATGATTTAGTGCAGGTTGACGGGTTTCCTAGCTGAAAAGCAGTAAGAGCCAGTTGGAGGTAACTGAGGGGGCTTGGCTTACCATTGAAAAAAAATCAGGCAGGCAACACATCTGTCAATACAACAACCAGCAAGCCACCCGAAAACAGCTGGGAGCACATGTCATTCATAACTTCCCATCGTGCTTGGCCAGCTGGCCTTGATGTAGAAAGATCAGCTGGGAGTCCCTCCAACAAAAAAAAGGAGGCGTACACAACAACGACATGACCGACAACTCGTCTAAAAAGAGGGATACATTACCATTTCGTTGGCCATCAGGCCTCCTGCAGCTGGTCCCTTCTGTCCCTCAAAGCCCATTGGGAACTTCTGGTTGGCTCCACCAAATGGCATATCTATAAGAAACAACACGAGTCAAATACAAACTCTGCACATCCTTATAAATGTGTTGAGACACGGTCCCCATGTAGCATTTTGATGGAAAAGGTGATTAAGCAGACTTAGGCAAGTTATACTACTATGGCAGATGTATCGTTTAACCAGTTATGCCCCAAGCCTGTTTTCCAGGTCTCGGGCTCGAAAATGACATTCCCAGAACAAATTAACATAACTACACTTCTAAAAAGAGTCAGAATCAATATAGATTTTTTTTTATTTTAAAGTAAATTCAGATTGAACATAGTAAAAAAATGTAAATTATTGTGTCCGTCCAAAAAAACAACATTACTTTTAGTGGAAACCACCCTTGAATGATGGGATAGTAGACTAAAAGCTTTAGGAATCCAAACTATAACATAATAAGTACCCTGTATCAAGATTGATGCAAAACAAGTGAAATTTGACCTTTTTAGAGAGGTTTAGCAAAACACTTCTGAGGTCATTTGGGTGGATTTGACCTATCTCTGGCCCCCCTTGGTCGATTTTGATGATAAACAATGGAATCGAGGGGAAGTTCCACATACACGTTACCAAATAAGGAGTGAGAGTGACGTGTAGCCAAAACCGGAAGCTGCGATACACTCTGGTGGCTACCATTAGCAGCTAATATTAATTCTCCGATTTTTACATAAAAATGGAATTATGGATTATCAATAATTTTTTCAAAGGGACACAGACACATTGGATTAACCTATGGATTAACTTTCAGCCGTGTTTTTCTCGTTTTAATGCCATTGAACACAACTTGATCAGAATAACAGCTAAAGGTCAGCATATCTCCGTGTTTTGCTACCTAAAGCTACGTCGTGTGTTGTCTTTATTTGCTTCCCCTGTCGCGAGTTCTGATCGCTCAGTGATGATACTTATATATTTCTATAATCTGTGGAATCTCAGCATGTTAGCTAAGCTTGTTTGTGCAGATCCGATAAGTATATCGATTGATTTATACCTAGTTTTGTGCTAAGTGCATTAGCATGTTTTCACTCAGGGCTCATTTAGACCCTTCTTGTGAGACTTGTGTTTTGTTTCGGTAAAAATGGTTCGTATCATCAGTTAGCTGAGTTTTTCCCGTTAGGAGGGTATGACACATTCATAGTTTTTTTAAATATTAAGAAGCCCTGAGACGCAGGGTGTTTCTCAATCGCGAGTAGAGCTGCTGCAGAGCCACTATTTCAAGCATACTACGTCATCGAGTGCCGCCGAAGTACTGTTCCAATCTCCAGCATACTTGGAAATCTACCGAGCCCGGCGTACTTCGTTAGGAGAAATTTCGAGGCTGCACATGTGTAGACTCCGCGGTCTTAAAATCCCCACAATGCTTTGCGCACGGACCAATTTCCCCAAATCTGTGGCGGAAAATGTAAGGCGGGGCCTCTCATATGACGCACACCTGCACACTTGCTAGCCTGTTCCACTCTTTGTTTTCCAAATGCCAGGAAGTATTCTTGCCTCGCTTCTGAAGCAAGATGCTCGGCAGACATGTGCTACCAAGCAAGCGTACTCGCGATTGAGAAACACCCACCGTGTCGTGAAAAAAACCTGTTAAGACCCCGCCGGCGGGGTCTTTGGGGCTTAACAGGTTAAGTGGGTATGACATTTAACAAACTATTTAACATAGTTTGTTTAAATGTTAAGAAGCCCTCAGACACTGTTTCTTGCAAGATGTTGCGTTTAACTGGTTAACACAAGGGGGCTCTGGATAGTCTCAAATGACCAAAAAGGCTCAAGAATCAGGCAGGCTGACTTCTGAAGGTGGACCTCCTACAGGGGTGAAGGTCATACCGGCTCTTCCAAGTATTTTTCTCTTTGAATAAGTGACAACAATTAAATTATTGAAAAGTAACTTACCATTCATGCCAGGATTCATTCTCATTTCCCTGTCCCTCTGTAAAAAAAAAATATATATATTAAACCAGACAACTATTGATGAGATATTTTGCTTCATTGCGGAATGTATCAGTTTTACATTTTACCAGTTTAACTTACATCCATGAAGTTGCCCATCCTGAAGTTCTCCTCACGCTGGCGACGCATCTGTTCTTCCATGTCCCTCTTGCGAATCATCTCTTCTTCCCGCCGCCGACGCTCTTCTTCTTGTCTGTATCAACAAACAAAAAATGTTATAGTGTGATTTTAGTTTATTAATATAAGCAAATCTGCATCGAAAAATCGACATGAAAAAATTATGAAAGTTATTTTGTGTTTATTAAGTTGCCCTAGTGGCTAAAAACCCCTTCCTTAAATAAGCAAACCGAATTCTATTAAATAAATACCTGATCTGCATCTCCTTCCTCTTCTGCATCTCCTGACTGTGCACCTCCTCCATGCGCCTCAGTTCCTCCTGTCGCCTCAGCAGATCTGGTAATGTGAGATCAACACATTTAATTGTGGCACTTCAAGTATTGAACATCTCAAGTGGGACATCCATCTTGTCTCATCTGGTAAAAATACAACTACACTTGCCCTGTCTGAGCATGCTGGCCTGGTGCTCGTGGAAGGCGTCCTCCATCTCGCTCTCCAGCTTGTCACGGGCCTCGCGCATGTTCTTCTCCACCTGCTGCCTCTGCTGCTTCTCCATGTCATCCAGGGACTTCCAGCGCTTGGAGTACTCGTATTCGAAAGTACCAGGACGAGCAAAACGAGGAGGTTCCTCACGCTCTCTATAGAAATAATCAACACAATGTACAAATTGTTAGGTTAACATGATTGTATACGCAACATAAAACTGTGTATACCCTTCCAGTTGGAATTACTAAAGCAGAGTAATTTAAGAACTTGATATATGCTCCATTGTAACAAAGATTGCTCAATACAGTCCAACAGTAACACTCGATTTAAAACTGGACCGCATCGTGATATCAACTTTTCATTTGCAGCCATTGTCCTACAGTGAGCAATAGCCGCTTTCACACCAAGTACTTTGCCGTACTTGGTGCCCCCGGCACTTATTACCCCAGGGCACTAAGTACCAATCGCGTTCACACCGGAGTACTTTTCCCTGAGGGAAGATTACGCAAATGAGCCGCTGACGTCACTTAGTCTTCTTCTGCTTTGGGTTTACTGGCAGGCCGCAAACAACTTCACGGCGTATACTGCCACCCGAAGTGCCCGGAGTTGGGGACTGGCTTCAGTAGAAGCTGTTGGGACTCCCAGGCTAATGCTAATGCGAGGATAATAAAATGGCAGCTTCACAAAACTTTTTGGGAGTTTTACGGGGCATGGTTTGCAATTCGCCCAGCCAATAGAAATTGGTACCTTTTTGGTACCACCTCTCTAGCAGGCACTGAAAATGAGGGCACTAAGTACTCTTTTTGGTGTAAACGCAACATCAGGGGTACTAACGGAACTAAACGGGAAAAGTACGGGGTAAAAGTACTCCGGTGTGAACGCGCCTAATGTTGCCAGAAAAATGCTATTTCCCCCCTTCAGTCAGTTTACCATCTGCCTCTACACAGAACATTGACTTTTAAGAGCTGCAATACCTTAACCACAGCCCCACCCCCATCACACCATCTGCTGCTCACAAAACAATGACTTAGCATACAAATAAGCATAGAGATGCTTGCAGAGACTAATGCCGCGTTTCCACTACACGGCCTCGCTCGGTATGGCTGGGCCTCGTTAGGACTGGCTCACTTTATGGCGCATTTCCATTACAGTTTAGGAACTGGGGCAGTATCTATAGTAACGCAGTGTAGGCGGAGCCGTGACGTGATTTTCAGAGGACCCCAGAAAAACAACACAGCCGTTAGCTGTTAGCACTCAGAGCTCACAGCTCCTCATATATGTTCAGAAACTAGACAAAAGTTAAACAAGTACAAACCACAGACTGCCTGTGTCATGGCGAATACAGTCGCTGCTTTATTTATGTCTGTATAGGCCGTTGTTGTGAGTGTGGACGGTCGGGGCATATACTGCGTTAGCTTAGCCAATCTCCATTTAGAAAACACGCATTTTAAAAGGTTTTTCGCCTGCCGTCTGTCTGCAGACTTGACAAAGCATTAATTCATGGTTTTTACTAACCGGTATCAGTATGTTGTTACTTCGGCATCATTTTGAAACGTGTATTACAATTAAATCACGGTCAAATATGTCCATCTTGTTGTAGTTGTTGCCCCCTTGCCAGCGACGCTCTCTCTAGTTTAGCATACTCAGCCTCGTTGTCTCTGCCCTGGCCCCACGATTTTATGAGGCCAGAAAAACTGAATTAGGACCCGCCGGCCGGTACTAGGCCAAGTGGAAACGCAACCAAAGACGGGCCGCTGACGTCACAGCCCTCTTAAACCGGGCTGCGGGCTGTAGTGGAAACGTGCCATTAGGCCCCGCTCACACGGGACCGTTTGCGTTTATGCACAGTATGCGTATTCAAAAAAGTCTTCCGTTCACATGCATTTGTTTCATTTAACGCGTCTGTTCAAACGAGGCCGCTGGAAACGCTGTAGTACATATGCTGGGACTGTAAGTGGCGCTGTAACTTCCGCCAAAATACACCAAAAGCCGCGAAGAAGAGCAACCGAGCAGCCCCGCTGCAATGTTGCCATGGCTACCCTTCTGTTTAAGCCCCGAAACTGAAACAAACCGAATCTGTGGATATTGCATCCTGACTAAGAAGCACGTCTCCGTGGAGAGGACGGCTCAGAAAGAGAGAGATATTCTCTACAAACACCGGGTGAGATCCTCCTTTGTCAATATAATGGATCAATGCATGAAATCTGACTCTGTTTATTTTGTTTAAGGAGTATATTGGGCGTTAACTATTCTGGTTTGCCTTTTATAATATTATTTCATTCAAGAACCCCTTGTGCGTTTAATTAACACAGCTATTTTTGATAGTTGCTACAGCAGTGAGCAGGAGAGGTGGGGAGAGGCGGGGCTATCGTTATTTTTTCAGGAAATATTCGTATCGAGGTGATTACACGGACTCGGTTGACCCCCCCAGAGCGTTTCGTTTGCAAATCTATCCACCTTGGGACCCGTTATTGTTTGTGGGGTCAGTTTCTATCGGCCTCGTGTAAATAATAGGGCTATACGCACGCGAAACTATGCAGATACAAGCAGTTTTCTCCTCGTGTAAACGGCGCCTTAAAGAGCCTGTGACAGCCTCCCAACAACTGTTGTGCAATGAAATATTGGGCTAGTAATCTCGAACCGTCAGTTTAAAAAAGAAGGTGCGATACCGTTCCGATAAATATCAATAATTTCGAACATCGCGGGGAAATTCCTTCGACTCATTTTGAAGTTTTGGGGGAAGCCGGAAGTCACGGCCAAAGTGTGTTGTCATGCGTATAAATGGTGAATTACTGAGTTTAGGCACGTTAATAACGTTTTAATGAAGTTGACTACAGTATATTCATATTTGTTAGTGCTTTTCATGTCAATTCGGCGAACATAAACATAAATGATCGTGGTGAAGATGATGATTAAATTAGGATTAAAAATCGGTAGTGAGAGCTGCTGAATTTCCTCCCGTCGGATGTGATATAAAAACAAACCGATTATTTTTGTAGTTGTAAACTCAAGTGGATTAAACTACATTTATTAGTGCTTTCATGTCAATTCGGCGAACATATGATACATTAAATGATCGTGAGGATGATGATTAAAAATCGTTTGTTTGAGCCGGTCTGCATTTCCTGATGAAAAAACAAACCGATGCTTTTTGTAGTTTTAGTACACCAACGTGGATTAAACGTGTTTTTTTTACCACAATGTTGGGGAAATGAATGGATAAAATGCACGGATTATGATTTATGATTATTCCCACTCCGATCGGGACACTAGGTCCACTGTTTCCCCGCAGCGAGGCTCCCCCCGTTGACAGTTTACGTGGGCTGGGCTGGGTGCAGTGGAGGACTGGCCACCGGGACGAATCCCGATGGGCCGGTACCGAAGTGGGCCGGTCGGATAAGTCACTAGCACACCCCCCACTCCCCCCGTTGACAATTTACTAGCGGTACCGAAGTGGGCCGGTCGAGAGTCCCGGGCTGATTTTTAGTCCCAGTCCGCCACTGGCTACATGACCGTATTATCGCCCATATTGACGCACCTAATTCCTAAACTTCTAACAGATAAAACATAAACTGATTAGTGTCCACTGCCATTATTTGCAAACAGAATCGTTATTTAGTCAAACTCCGTAAATAAATAGTTTACAAACCATTCCACATTGTTGTATTTTAGTGTTGCCTCTGTCTTTAGTGTCCTATCGGTCTGTAACTTTGTGTGGTAGTGTTACCACTGACAGGTCTCTCTTGAAAATGTGACCTTGTGTCTCAATGAGATTTTACACCTGTATAAATAAAGGCTAAATAAAAAAAATGTTCATGCGTTGTAGATCGAGAGGTATCTCTCGTCGGGCAGGTTGTCGTCTCCACTGTCCGACTCGGAGTTAGTTTCATCCGATTCAGAGGCATATGGTTCGAATCTGTAGGGCATATAGCCAATATCGTCTACGATGTCATGACTATCACTTTCCGATCCTTCAGCCTCATATGAGCTCTCAGACACGTTCAAAATTAAACTGTCATCGCTGTCTGAACTTGCTGCTGTGTGCGCCATCGTGCCTTTGCATGCAGATGCTGGGATCCGGAACGGTGCAGCTGGAGCTCTTGGCCCGCAATTACGTCACACATAATTTGGCGGGATTTGAAGAACCCCCGAGAAGATCCAGAATATGGTCAACATTGAAGGGGAGATTAATGGTTATCAAAGTACAAATATCCCAAATCAGTTCAGTAACAGTTTCAAGGGGACAATATTTACTAAAATTGATGGGTTTGGATGATGGGGGAAACTCGTGTCACAGGCTCTTTAATTAAGCGTTATTCAACTCAAAATCGCATCAACCTTACTTAGCAATCACTTATATACAAAGGCAGATGTTTGTGACGAACTGAACCTTGCTTACGCTTGATATCTGGGGTTTTTCTGTGCTAGTTTTTCTGGAAGACCATCTTCATCGTCATACTGCTCCAGAGGCTCCACAACAACAGGCCGTGGGGACCTAAATGGGTGAAACAATAAAGTGAAATTAGTAATGTTTCATTAACTTAGTGAGGTGCATAATAAAAGCACACAATGTTTTTTTTTTTATTAAACATAAAAAATGCTTACGTGGTGAGAAGGAAGACACCCTCGTTGCAACGATCCAATGCCTTTCTAGCGGCAGGTTTGGAGGCAAACTCAACAATTCCCTTGCCTGTGGGGCGTCCGCGATCATCCACGATGACAATGGATCGCTCAACCATTCCAAACTGTGAGAAGGCTTCCTCAAGGAGCTCGTTTGAAACAAATGGTGACAGGTTCTTCACAGACAAAGCGGCAGAGTGTGTGGCAAATCGAACACGCAGAGGTCTGCTTCTCATCGGCTTGTCATCCAACTCTGCTTTTGCTATCTCTGCGAGTGCACGGGACTCCTACAAGAAACAAAATGTAAGATTAGTATTAGGAACTTTGAATCAGCTTTTCTCCACAATCACCTGCCCTTTCATTGACTATTTCTGAAACAAATAAGAATATAATGTCTTACCAGTCTGATGAATCCAAAGCCTTTGCTTTTGTTGATGAAGACCTCGCTGGGCTCACCATATTTTGCGAACAGCTTCTTGAAATCTTCCTCTGAGATGTCGTTGGGGAGATTTCCAATGAACAGGCGACACCGCTGCGTGTACGTCTTCTCGCCAGGCTTCAGCAGCATGGAGAGGGTCGCCTTGAACGACTGTCGACGATACAACAATACACATATTTAGTTGTCCATCTACAATACTACACCCTGAAATAGTTTATAGTTAAAATTCCAATAAACAAAGGTTATATTGTGCTCGGACATGACTGCTTTTGCTTGCCCAGTCACGTAATTTGTATTCATGGGTGTATCCCCAGGCGAGCAGCCCATCCCCCATTCGCCATTGTTGCTCGACGGAAAAACATGATTGACTTTCTGACGTCAATTTTCTATAACCTAGTGTACTGGACATGTGGCACAAAGGAAATTGTAATTGCTGTTAAATAAACAGAGGTGCGTTTGTGTTTCAGCACAAGCAACACATTTAGAGATTTGTGAATGTAGGCCCAAGTGTTGTAGACAAGATGGCGGAGAGCTAAAGCGAATGCAATAGGGTGCGCATGATTTGAATCACCGCGTGTACAGTTATCATTTTACATTCCTTTTAAAATAGATAATTAATTATTTTCATTAGAAATAACTATTCGGCAGAGTGTTCTTGTTTACAAAAACGAAGAACAGACACAGACGACTGAATACTGGAAATAGTTAAGATAGGAGAGAAACCCCCGCCCGCTCGGGCTGCACTGTATTACTTATCGAGCGCATTGACAACTGAATAAGCTAACGTTAGCGAACAAAGACTCGACGTGACTCACAGTAAAACATTTATTAAAAATAACACTGACCGTATCATGGCTGCCGTCGGTCTCGGCGCCGTCGTTGTTTCCGCACATTCTTACGACTTGGTCCTGTTTGGGCCTCATTGCCGGGGGTCCTGTCCGCTGGCCCTGAAAGGGGCCTGTCCTCTGGCCTTGATGAGGGCCTGCTCGCTGGCCGTTATTGCCTTGGTTTGGGCCAGACCTCTGACTTTGTTGGGGGGGTTTTGGGCCTTGTACAGGCCCCGGCTTTGGGATCGGGTTCGGAGGCGGCTTCTGTCCATTAGTGTTTACTACCGGTGACTTCAGCTCCTGGTTCTGGTTCTTGTTCGCCTGGTTCGGAGGAGGGGAAGTGATGTTGGGTTTCGGAGGAGGTGACTGAATCTTCGGTTGCGGTGCAGGGGTTGCCGGTTTCGGCTCCGGTTGCTTTTCTGGTGTTGCGTTGGGCTGTTGTGCCGGTTTCTGAATCTGCTGCATCGGCCCCTTCATAGTGAGAGCTGGGCCAGGAGTTGGTGGAGGAATAATTGGCAGCGACTGGTTAAGTGGCGGCTTCTGTGGGGTATTTTGCCCCTGGTTGGGAGGTCTGTTTAAGTTATTATTGGCTCCCCTCCGATTTTGGTTCTGATTTTGGTTCTGGAAAGGATGGTTCCTGAAATGTGGGTTTCCCATTATCCCACCCCTCATAGGGCCGCCTGGCCCACCGCCTCCTCTGCGTTGCTGGAAATGATTCATCGCGAAGCCGCCACGATTATTGTTGAATCGAGACATTGATCCTTATTTTAGCGAAAACTATGATTAAAATGCAAAAATGGATTCAACTGTGCTGCGTAACAACGGTGTTCGGCCGATGTTTGCAGGTCGAGCACCTCAAAATGGCGATTGACGACTGTGTGTGTCGGGAGGAGTCTTTCTTCTTCAGCAGAGCGACCCCCCACCCCCACGAGCCGCTGATTGGTCCGCTTCCAAAAAGAAGGAGGGACCGGGAGTGTTCAGGGTCTTATGAAGCATCAGTTCATTTGACTCTTTGCTAAAAAAAAAACTAATTCAGCTCTCTTTCCCAACCTCTCTGTCTCTTCTTTTTTGTTTAAAGTAGAACATGTACACAATATACCTATTAAGGAAACTATCATCTAAATGTAGAGGTATTTAGTCATGGCTAAAAAGAATCAACATTATTCTCACAACAGATGTAGCCTATATATTTCTGGATGTATTTTGAATGGGATTTTCATTTTGCATTATACAAACATTACTGACTGTATTACCATTGAAAAGGACCAACAAATCATTACTAGTTACATTTATTATCAGTTTAAGTCTATCTATTAATGTATATTATAATTGTTTGGACCCAGACAGTCTTGTCTGTCAATCCTTGTGTACTTTTTTGACCAACAGAAATCCCTGCTAGTGATCAGTCTTTATGTATCTCACGAAAAATATCAGAAATATCAAGCTACGGAGAATGAAAAACACTCAACTCTAAAGAAATCTTTTTTTTGTCATTTATTCCGCATACAGGTGTTTCAAAAACCCAAAAAACTGGAGACCATCATGTCTCACCTAAACATGTTTTTTTAATGCTTATAATTAAAAACAAACAATAAAAGGATGAGATGACAACAGCGACAAAACGCAACAAAACATAAGTCAAATAAACAACAAAAACATGAAAGTAAAAACCAATGACAACATACAACCCAGGAGAGAAAACACAAGACCTTTTCACACAGGGGAAGTGTAAGAAATGAATACAAAAAAAGGTGTCAAAGAGAAGAAACTAAAAACAGAGACGTAGAATGAAGGCAGGGCTGCATCAGATTCAGAGTCACAGGAAAACAAAAGGACTCGACGGGGGAAGAGACATTCACTGATTCAACAACAACAATCAAACAGATGTGTTCCTTCCTTTTCTTTTGTTAAATCAGGGTGAAGAACACCAACAAAGAACAATTAATCATGAGGAGCAAAATAACCATTCACAAAGGAAAATGCAGAACACCTGATATATATATATTTTTAAGCACAAACTCCTCAGAGTTACACTCCTATGTTCAAGGATCACACGATGTTCAAGGTTTACTGTTTTTTATTTGTAAAATCACCCTTCAGTTATGATGGAACAGCTTCTTGCCAAAGCTCCCAGTGTATAGCCATTTTATTTTTTAAGAAGTTAACTATAATAGCATTGGGATTCATTTTAAATCTGACCTTATATGGGATATTAGTGGGTTACAGTGTGTTGGCGAAGCAGGGAGCAAGGAAGTGAATATTTTCTTAGGAAAAAAAAGGTGTACGGTTTAAAACTCTGGACTGCTGCGGTGTTGTGGAAGAAGATATAGTTAGCAGGTTTTTCCGGGGTTTTAAACACAAAAAGAACTTTGAAAATCCACTGGGACTGATGAAGAGGAGGGTGGTGGGTGGCAGATGCTGAAACAGGAACACTTGAATGGGGAGAATGTTTGAGGAAAAAGTGTGTGTGTGGGACAGTGAAGCGACACTGGTGTGCAGTCTGTGCCGGCCAGCAAACATCTGGAGCGATGTTTTATTTCATGCAACTCATACCTACAATCTTACATATTTTTGTAATCAATTGAGGTAATAAAAATAATAATCAGAAAGCAGAAATAGGTTAACATGCAGATGTGGACGTTTTGAAATAAACAGCACAGCGTGGCAAAAGCATGGATTGATTGGTTTATTTCAATTGGATTTTTCTTCATGTACTTCAAGATATTCTATTACACCCGTTAAAAAAAAGAAAGGAATGTAAAACCCTCGTGTATGATTGTTAAAGATTACTCAAGAGGGGCCTCCGTACGCGGTTAGTGATGCAAGACTCGGACAGGCTGCTGTTTAGAATTTGTGTGGTGGGATGGAAACCAGATTCTGTGGGACTGACATTGAAGCAAAGCCGTAGTTGGACAGAATTTCACATGGCTGAATTTATTTAATCTGGCCAAATGTACTCGTGTGGTGTAGCACAACAAATGTAGGAGGGGACAGGAAAAAGCTTGGGCAGGGTTTTATCAAACATTGTAATGGTCTTTAGCTTTGTTTCTATCTATGCTCTGATTGTAGTATTGTACCATGCATTTATTAAGCAAGACAATAAACTCCCCTTTCCTAAACTTGTGCATTGGACAGATAATATTTTTGCTGATTCAATCTGATTGAACCAAAGGAAAAAGGTAAATTCCTGACTAGGAGTAAATGTGTTGCATCCCATTCCGTGTGGAAATGATTGGGAAGTGAAATTCGGTCTGACTGCGCCTTAGCATGGTGGCTAACAGAATCATGTAGCTGTTAACCTGCTTATCTGACTCAATGTCTTACATATTGACACAGCAACGAAAGACCGAAAGCAAAAGAGGATGTGACAGCTGGAGGTTAAGATGAGGTAAAAATTTGATAGTGTGGAAGCGACTGACAGAGGTGGTTAAAATAAAACCAAAGGGAATGTATCATGTGAGTTTAGTATTCTCCCTCCGAAAGGCTAAGACTTGTGAGTGTTAGCACTTATTAATGTTAGAATAAATCAGTGCATTTTCAGTATGAGTGTCTGAAGGACTGCATTTGAGAGAAGTATGTTATGTGTAGCAGTATGGATTAAATCAATATTAAATGTGTGTGCGTGTTTGTCATCTTGCTGATGTGTGTGGAAGAGGGGGTGCTCATGGCTGTTTCCTGTGGGAGAATGGCGGATCAGGCGTGAGAGGTCAGTGTCTCAGAGGGTCACAGTGGGGGTGAGGTGAGGTCAGACTCGGGGCATATACTTCTCGATAAATTCCTTTACAGTCGCCATCTCCTGCAAGAGAGCAAAGAAAATGTTGGTACAGTGAAGAAATTAATCAGATGATACTTTTACTGGAACAATTAAATGAAGTGTAACCATTTTTTTTAACGCTTAAGGCTTCGACTAAGGGGTTTAAATGATGTTTCACAAATATTTTATGACATCATTATTGTGGTTGTAAAAATTATAATTTTGGGATTGGAGCTAGACTGCCAAATTAAATCAGAATCGTACTTACTTACCTACCTACTTATT